TCTTTCCTTTCTTTTTATTTTAATCTTCCCATCCACTACATTTTATCTTTCCCATCAAGCAGCTGTCTGATCCCACCGCCCATTATCATCATCATTTTTCCCATCATCATATTCTCCCCCATACTTTTTTTTTTTCTTTCTTTCCACCCGTTCATGTTCCCCGCTTTCTGCTTTCTCACACATTAATGCATGGGATCACACATTAACACAATGCCTATGTATTTGTGTATATCTAAATGATTAAGCCTCCGTTTGAGAAATTGGCTGGTTTTTTGACTTTTTTAATTATTTTAGTTTGAGTTAAAAAGTTTGATTTGGAAAGAATTTTTTAATTTTTTTAATTTTTTTTGTAAGAGAAGAATGTAATAATTATAAATTAAATGTGATATTTTATTTATTGTGACTAAAATAATTTATTTTATATTTTGTGATTAAAATAAATTTTTTTTTTTCATGGCTAAATGTATTTGCACATATCTATAACATATGTTAAAAGTGTGTAAGAGTGGTATAACACTGCTGCTTGCAGTGATATAACACTCCTGTTTACTTGGTTTCTTACTCTTTCCTTGCAGATTTTGGGCTACACACGTGGGGCTTCAAATCATCCACATACACAACAGAAGAAGAAGGCAAACAAATTTCACCACCATTCTTGAAAGTTCCAAGATCGGCGCTCTTACTACTTGCCTATTTTCTTTCCACAGCTTTTCTATTACAGCTCACCCATGCTAATCTATAACCTATATATAAAAGAGTGAAAGCAAGCAGGTTGAATCTAACGCATCAAATTCTTCTTTTTGCCCTTTATCCTAATAGATAATGGCAATCTCTCCTCTGTTGCCCATATATAAAAGAAGGGAAGCAGGCAGCTCCTTTTGAATCTAACGCCTTGAAGTCCCTCATTTGTCCTGGCTCGATTGTTGATGCTTCGGTGAGTCGGTCTGGTTTGTTTTTTTTTTTGGTCCTCCATTTCGCCTGCTGAGGATGGTACTCAGAATGATTCAGCTGTTTGATGATGATGAGTCACCTGCTTGATTCTACCTCTTGGGAAAGCAAGAGACAACAAAAACAACTGATAAGGAGAAATAGGATTATATAGATACTTTTTGCTGCTGATGTCGGTCCTATTTGTATCTATAGCAAACAAAATAACCGATATGTTCATCTTCTCTGTCTCTCTCTCTGTGGGTCTTCCTGTCTTACGCCTACTTGTATTTAATGTTATTATACATTCATGGCCTTATTTTATTGATGTTGTGTTGTTTTTTTATGAGATTCCATGGCCTTATTTTATTGATGCTCTGTTGTTTTTTTTTTCGTATGAGATGCTTTATCCACCATGTGTTTGCAAATATCTTTGACTAAGAGATTGAGATGTTTTGGCTTCCATATATTGTTCACCATGTATTTGATAATATGCCTAAACCAACTTGGAAAAAAAAAACTCAGCAAACAAGAAATGGCAAAAAAGAAAACAAATATACAAAGAACACACACACAAAGAAAAAAGAATCAAATCAGCAACTTCCTTAAATTATTTGAAAAAACAAACCAGGAAAACAAACAAGAAATGGAATAACCAAACAGCAGGGGAAAAAAAAAACACACACACACACACAGCATCAATAAAATAAGGCCACGAAATCAGAAAGACAACTTGAAAAAAACATTTCTTGTGTACAGCAGATTGGTGAAAACAGAGTCAAGAGCAAACATTTGGCAGGACTGTAGCTTAGGTCTTGCAAAGGAAAATTAAGAGTTTTAAATTAGACTATATTATTGTTTTTGTGTTCTTCTTGAATTTTTATGGGCTGCAAAGATGGCTTTTTTCTTTGTGAGCTGATTTATTTAGCTTGGATAAAACTCGCTAGGGTTCAAACATTAGAGAATCAATACAACCCATGTCTGAATTTTTTCTCGGCCATTGGAGGCATTGTCGAAAAAGCTAAAGGCAAAAACCCTAAGAAGTTAAGCTCTTACTTAACCTATTGCTGCCACTATGTACTTATCTCTCTGTTAGACACACACATCAATTTTATGCATTTTTAAAATACATACAGATGTGTACACTTATTATGCATATGTGGACATTTAAACATACACAAACACTGACACTCAAGTCC